TGGGGGGGGGGGGGGGGGGGGGGGGGGGGGGGGGGGGAAGAAATGTCAATAATTGCCTTCGTTTTAATTGAGTCGTTCGCTGGGAATCAATTAGGGGGTTTGTGGACTGATTTATCGCTTCATTTTTCAATACGGGAGACTCGGTAGTATATCATGGTTTATTTGTCTCTGCCCTGCGGCAAAATATGTCCATGTTTCATAATAAAAAATATATGAAGAGCACACATTGGAAAGAGAAAATCTCACGGGAAGAGACGAAGACGGAAAACGAGGGAATTAGAAATGCCCAATGTGAGCAAGTAAACAGCTCATCGAGAAATGGAACAACGTGTAAAAAAAAAAAAATACACACACGCACACAAAAGCATACGGGAACACGCACTGACCCACACTAAGGCATTTCTGCATCCGATGGCGACACGACATGAGGTGAAAGCGATCCGTCGTTGCATCGAGACTAGATTCCACACGAAGGTGTATACATGGCATCTTCAATCATATGTTCCCCCGGACGAAACGAGTTCTACTAGCTTCTACCTCCATCCTCCTCCTTTCTTTCTGCTAGTAGAGTCCGTTCATTGTCTCGAGGATGAACTCGAAGACGATCCTCCGGACGAGAAGGCCCTGGATCCAGCGGAAGGAGTAAGGGCAGATCCCGTACGTCTCATCACACAGACTTCGGTATCTCTGCGGCATAAAAAAAGAAAATACGGGTTGAAAACGCGTTACGAAACGAGGAAGCACGGTCGCATGGCTCTGCGATGCGTGACAAATTACCTCGGACAGGATATGATTTCGCAGGAGAATAGCCCAAATCGCAGGGGGAAAAAAATGTTGGGATTGAGACGAGAGGGGAACGTTACGTGTCCTCACAATTTTCCTCGCGTGCGTGTGCTTACGGCTGTTTTTTTTTTGCCCCTCGTGACGAGGAGAAACGTGAGAAGAGGCCACGTTCCCTTTCCGAGGCTAATTAATGACTTTTTTTTTCCAAGACTCAAAAGCATGGGAAATGAATGAAGTATACGAAGACGTCGAAGACTGTGAAGACTGTGAGGACTCACATCAGCCTCGATGGGTATATCAGGGCCGAGGACGCTCTTGGCCGTCTTGTAGTACCATTTCTGGAGCTTTTTTTGCCACTTTTCGCCCATGGAGGCGCTGGACGCTCTCTCCGCGCCCAGCAACGCCATCTGCAAAAATAAGAAAATAATTTTTATTCATTAAAAAAATATATTTTAAACAATACAGGAGAAGATCCAAAAGTTCATTTCCGCATTGAATATGCGTCATCATGGAACGTGGAACAGGATCTCGAACCGGTCCCACTTTCATCCTCGACAATTTTTTTTTTTTTATGAGGTTGGTCATAGCCACGTAACGCGATTGTCTCCGTCGATACGGCCCACGTAATCCCCGGCCTTTTTAGAAATCCTTTGTTGACTTTCACCCGCGCATCCTTCAAGGTCCAAACGGTGAAAGCGGCTGACCCTTTCCGCTAAAACCTTTGACCTTTGTCTCCCCCTCTCTCTCTCTGTCTTGAAGATCCTGATTATCATGAGTAAGGCCGATTCGTGACGGTAATCGATTCATTTTCCCGCGAAACGGTTCCGTTACGCAACGCGAAAAAAAAATCCCGACCAAGCGCCTGAAAGCGTTCGTTTTTATTTTATTTTAAATAATAATATAATCATTTGGGGAACTTTGGAATTGGGTTGGGAGAGGATCGAAGGACCGCCTCGGGCCCTTCGAAGGGTTCGCCAGACGGGTAAACAAAGGTCCGAGAAAAGGACACACCTTTTTTCCCCTTTCCTTTTTCGACTCGGGGGAATTTGCCATAAAACACTGGTTCCCCGGCCACTCAGGGGGTCATTCATTATTCACGGGGAGAAAGCTTTTTTTTCCAACGAATTTAATTAGCTATGCAACAAGCTTCTTTCACTGGGACTGAAACTGACACCGACTGCTTATTTGTTTTGCATTTAATTAGCTAGATTTCGTCGGGATCGAGGATTCGTGGTGGAACATGGGAATTCACACGATTCCACGAAAATTGTGGATCTCTCCTATATAATTATAATACATAAAATATATGTATTAGATATTTTATTCAGAATTATACGTCATAATTATTCCCTTCTCCCAATTCCTGCAATACTGAAAAAGAATGAATCCCCGTCTCGTTGGTAAAAAAAAAAGAAGATATTGTTCACTTGTGACATTCACTTGTGACAAGTGATAGGAGTCGACAAATAAATTTTGAAAGAAAGAGATAGACGCTCTCGCTCTTCGAAGTATTGTGGTACAGAGTTAGATAAATATATTTTTTGCACCGCACGCAAGCTCAAAAATCGTACCACCATTTTCTACCGCGTGAAAGCCGACTACAATATGTAAAAGAGGAAAAATAAAACATGAGCGTCTGCAGAATTCAAATTTCGCGTTCGAAATAGTAAAAAAAAAAAATCTGGGCGAGCTCTGCCATCCAGAGGATGAGAGAGCGGAGAGCAGAGCGTACGCTCCGTCATCCTATGAATGAACTTCGCGCCCTTCGGAATCCATGAATGAACGATACTCGATCTCGCGCGGACTTGGTCCTCCACCCCCCGACCTCCTCCTCCTCCATCCATGTCCTTTCGGCTCTCCGCTTTTTCGTGCGGATTTGGGTGTCGAGGGGGGGCGGGGAGGGGAGGGGAGGGG